AAAAGGTGAAATTTTGAATAAAGTTTATCCACTACAACTACTTCATAAAACTTCAGAATATTTCTGAAGTTAACTTTCTAAGCATATTAAAACTCGGAAGCAAGGCTTAGAAGGGACATAACAATCTTTCATGGGATTGAGCATATCAAACATAGGCACAAATTTGTATTTTAGCTACTTGAATTTTGCTCCAAATGACAAATTTACCTTAAATACATAAACAACTATAGAATGTATCATATTTTATACAAGTTTTTTTTTTTATCTTGTCAGCATTTCTATGAAAAACAACATAAAATACATGGCAAAATTAAGGTGTTTTAAAATATTTCCTGCAAAATTTTTGTAAGCTGTCAGTCTGTAAAATTAACTATGTGTCTTGATGCAGAATTAGAATGCTAATTTTTATATTACTAAACAGCTTGGAACAGGCTATATCAGTTTTTCTGGAGCAAGGGACTGTTGTACATATAGTGTTTAAGGAAAGGAGAATCTTTCTTTCACGAAAACCTCTCTGAATGTTAGTGAAGCTTGTGTATATCAGTTTCTTCACTTTTATTCTAGCAAAGAAACATCTGATAGTTTTGAAGCAGGCCAACTAGCTGATTCTGATCTGTCAACAGGAGGTTTCACCTCCCAACTAAAGAATGAGGGTGGGAATAATCTCACCCAATATTGCATTAAACTTGTCAATCAGGGTTCACTTTATTTATCAATCGAGCATTTCCAAAGGCCAATGTGTCTCAACACAAAGCAGGCTGCCAAAACAGCTGGGATGAAATCACCCTCAGGAGATTTCCTGTTCTCTAGAGTACTGCTATGACCTACTGTAACTAGCTCAGACTTGAATACCCCTTTTTAGACATCTGAAATTTCACATAAGAGAAGTCTAGCCCCATTTTGCACTTCCACTATTCCCAGAAATTGCACCCAAGAGAAGCTGGGTCCACGAAAAGCCCAGGTCATATATTCCGCATCCCCTTGTCCCCTGTGCATGCAAATGACAAGTGCTAGCTTATCTCAAAAGTGAGCTCAAAGTCTTAAACAAAAAGAAAACATTGGTACATATTGAATTCCTTTTAACAGTCTAGGCCAAGTAACTCATGAAACCACAGGAGCAACACAAAGTCAAAGCAGCTGCTTAATTTGGCTAAAAAGAGGCCTCTGGTGGTAGATGTGAAGTACAGCTTCCCAAAGTTTTATGAAATGTGGATTTTGATGACAATTTTCTGTGGATATATTTCTGTGTAGAAATAGACTATGCCAGATATTTTCAAAAAAAATCTTGATATATTACTGTTCTTGTCCAAAGCTTCATACCATCCCCCTTCATTCCTACATCACAGTTTATCAAATAAATCTTAAAGCTGTATACATTCCCAATTAAGCAAAACTACTTTTAAGCATGTTTTAAAATAGGTACATTGAAAGCTTAAAGTGATTTCACCATTAAAGACAGTAACAGTTAAGGTTAGAGACCTGCTTACTCCCCGAGATTTGAAGACTGCTTCATTTTGTTTAAAAAATACGGAGACTGGCAAGTAAAACTTCCCATTATATTTTTATATGCATATGTGTTCCTAGGACAAGCTTTTATTTTGCAATGGTGGAAAATCATAAGAGAGGAGCCTGGCAAACACACAGAGTTTCTGTAAGATGACAGCTCCTTTACAGAGCCGGAACGACACGGACCCCACAGGACACGGGTCTTTTACAAGGCTGGACGGGGTCTGGGGCACTTGTTTAGAACAACACCACGACTTACAAGAGACAGACAGATAAAAGCTTCCCGCCTTCTGGAAAGGACAGATGGAAGATATGTAATAACAGAGAAGTGCAACTGAACTATTAAGGCTGGTATGAACTAAATGTGAATAGAAGGTTGCATCAAGTCACACGAACCTCAGGAAAAAAGGGGTCAATCCAGCCTAAGACTTATGGGGCTGCCATAAGCAGGATGGCTAGGATCGGTCCCATTGCCCATGGGCCTCCTCAGCAGCTCAACGGGCAGCTGAAAGCTTCCTCTGGCACCACCAACGTTTCTTTTGGTTCTTGACACCAGCATCACAGGGAAGGAATAACCAACGTTCAGCAAGTCGGGGACTGATTCTGAACGGCCATTTGCAGCAATGGCACCAAACGGCCCCTCTGGGAACCAGCTTTGGGAAGCAGCTGGAAGTAGCTCCATCCTTCTATTTATTTGTGTTGGCAGTTACTGTAAAAGCCATTTGGGGCATATACTAACTTTTAACGCTGACACTTTCTAAGTACCAAATGCAAACTACTGATTATTTTCAGTTAAGCAAAACATACGGGGCTTTTATAGGAAAATAGTTTAACGTTTCTCCCATATGAGTGGCCAGTCTGCATCCGTACTAACACAGGAACAATGCCAAACATTTACTAGTTGGTATTTATTATAATAATTACATGCATTGCCTAGCCAGTGTGTGCTGCATTTCTCTTGAAATAGCTCACTTAACTCTTAATAGTAAACCCACTAACAGATTTACCAGTAACAGAATTACGTGTTCCATTCATTATTTTATTTAAGCCAGAGTTACCTAAAAGGCTTTTTAGGATGGAAGATAAATATTTTGTGAAGATTTTGATCTTATTTTTAAAGTAGATTTGAAAGAATTTGTAGAAAGCTCTGCAGAATGCCTGTCATCTAATATGTATAGCTACATTTTTACCCCGGTCATGTTTCAATGCAGGGACATTCAATGAGACAGTCTTGACTCCTCTTTCGGTGAGATGTTTTGGAAGAAAAAGGCAAAAAAGCTAAAACATTAATATAATTGTCTAAGAAGGATCTGTTAGAAATAAATTAAAATAGTGTACAAGAGAACAAACCACTGCCAAAGTTTCTCTCTATCGATGGCTACAGTTTAACACGTTTCATTTTTTAGAAAGTACATCCAAGTAATGTGAAATACACTGAAACCAAACACTGAAACCACTTCAAGCGAGAAAATCAAATTTATATGAAGCAGCACATAGTTATGCACATAAATACACAACCAGTAACACGTGCACAAGTGGACAAAGCACTGCCAGTAGTGGACTCCCAGCATGGTTGTTTCCTTCCATCGTCTGCTCCATGCAGTTCCACTTATAATTCTCAAAAATCAAAAATGCAAAATTCATAGTGCTGAGAAACATAGACTTGACCATAAAAGAGCTGCCCAATGGTCCATCCTGCTCTTGAGCACAACCAGAGATAGCTTAAAACAAGGGAGCTCTTAGTGCAGCACGAGGGGCAAAGCTTTGCCTCAGCTCTTAGAGTTAAGCCCATGGGGAAGGAGAAGAAAAGCACCAGCGCAGTCAGAAAGGGTCTCCCAGTCCAGAGCGTGCTGACCATGTTGGCCACACCAGAGCACATCCAGCAGCTTTTATACTGGGACACACTGCTTAGCAGAGGTTCCCAGTGCTGCAGCAAGAGGGTTTCATGTAAGAGACTTCAGAGCTACTGCCATGAGGTAGCTATAGCAAAGGTCCGTTTAGAAAAGTCTGCCCAAAGTAGCAATACTCGCACTTATTTTGCAGAATCTACATTTATTCTTGCTTTTATCATGTAATGTTTTATCCTTTTATTTTAACCTCTGTTAAAATAATAAAAAAATGCAAATACTATAAATGCACAAATAAATACATCTCTAATTCAGAAACAATGCAAAAACATCAAACGATTAAAAATTTCCAAATACAGTGTTTCCTTTTCAGAAGCTCTGATTTATTTATTTTTTTTTAGTTTCCGAATTGGCACAAACAGTACCTTGGGATTCTTTTTTCCAGTTTCAGCACATGCTTGCTAGCAGAAAGGTAAGGCAAGCTTAGCATTGGTCACCCGCTTCTCACGAGCCCTGCGGCTGATGACGCAGCCTGTGAACACGCAGCGGCGCCCGCGGCTTTCGGCACCCGCTCTGGAAGCGCCCGTCAAGCTGCTCAAAGGGACCCTGCTACAGTGGAAGCAACCACTCCTTTGGGATTCCCCTTTACCCATGAGTACTATTATATCTTGACCATGTCATATTGTTTTTTCTTAGCCGAGACCAAAAAAGAAAAAAAAAATTGCTTCAGATTTGAAGAATGTCATGAATGTGAAAACAAATGTTTAGAATGGGCTGATTTTGATTTTAGTAACCGATTTTTGAACAAAGTTATTAATTTCTCACTCAACTGTAATATTTTCAAATCATGCATTCTGATGGTCCCTCATCTACTGGATTAGCTAGTTCGTTTTATATCCTTACATGAAATACGTACATGCATATGTGTGAAAGTATATACATCTAGATATGCAGACCAAACTCAAGGCTGAATACCACTTAAAATGATAAGCTTTAACCACGCTAAAGACTTTTGCTAAGCTAGTAAGATGTGTGGTTATTCTACTCCAAGTTCACTTCCCAGGGCTTTGACTTTACAGGGAATTTTGCTCAAAGACTCCTCTGTAGCAGGTAGATAATTCACATTAGCCATGGATTTCAGACTGGATAGTTTCAGAATAGTATATGCTGCCTGTCTTCCCCAGGCCTCAGATTTATACATTTTACATCAAAACGCCTAACTAAAGAAATATGAATAAACAAAATCAAGATACATAGTCGCATACCTAAAACCAGATAGACTTATGCTGCAAAAGAGCAAGAAAAAAATATGTAAATAATCTAATCATTTCAGACCCAAGGATGACAGAGACGATCGATAGAACGAAGCAGAAATCACGAAAGCAGTTGAAGTACAAGCCAGATTAAATCCTGCGGTCTTCAATGCAAAAAAAAAAAATTTTTAAATATATATTGTAACTCTGAAATATAATTCTGTCAATGCTAAAGCAAATGTCTGATCCATTTAACACGTATTTACTCTTCCTATGTAATACAAAATAAAAAACTGACCCCTCAAATACTTGCAAAAAACAAACTCATTTTTTACATTTCAGCTATTGCTATTTGTTTCATTCTTATTATTTTAAACAAGCAGCATTTTCCTACCTTGCAAACCGTCTCTGCATCCCAGGGTAAGATGGTCCTCAGATCAATAACTTCACAAGACACACCAAGGTTTTCTTGAGCCATTGCTGCAACCTCTTTGATCACATGCACCTGAAAAGACAACATATTATCACCCAGTTAAACAGAAATCAAGTGTTTAAGATGTTCTAAATTATGTTAAATCATTGCTTGTCTTGACAATGTATATCTTAATGATTTGCAGAAAGCTTGCTATTCATTTATCTAGTAGCATTTACTCAGTTCATTCGTCTTGTTTATTTTTTTGTTATAGTTTAGCACAGTGTTCAAAACCAGAAAGCCGCAATTAAGGATTAAGTGAAAACAAAATTGTTACTTTCCAGAACAGCATCTTTCAGTAAATAGTATCAAGCCACGCTATTTTAATAGACATGTCCAGTTTGGACTTGGGGGTTCGAGTTTTTTCAGGGCTATAACTAACCAAAGACCCAATCATCAGATTAAGGTATTTTGATGGAACAGTCACAGGAAGTCAAATGAAAAACATTTCATACAATCAGAAATAGTAACTGAATTACTTGCATAACTACAGTTGCAAAAAATGAAATAGACTGCCACATGATCATTTCCTTTCTGAAGTGTTACCTTTTTAACAGATTAGTAAAAATAGAAATCACTGCTTCCACTCATGTCCTCCCAAAACCATATTGACATTAATATGACAATATGACCATTTACTGGTCTTCCAACACAATTTAAAATCAAAAACTGCAAGTGTCACATTATCTAGTTACTGTAGTTAACAAAAAAAGATCTCCCCTTTGGCAAAAGGTTTGCACTGATTTAGAATAGGCATTTTTCATTTTTCAGTCAAGTAATCTATTTAGCAGCCTATGTGAGTGCTTCTTAACAGAGTTGTAATGGAATCTACTTATATTAACACCCTTTTCATGAGGTACATTTCAGTAGAACCAGAAAAGAAAGCAATATTATAGGCCCTCAAAAAATCTTGACTTTCTGTTACACCGCTTTTTTTAAGCAGAATTGCTTTTTGTAAGTATGCTCTTTCAAAATACAAATATACACACATACATTTTAGTGCACACATGCTCTGACACTGAAAATAACCACAGAAACTCGGATTACCCTCTGTAAATAGCTGGCTGACAACAGAATTTAATAGTTTAGACATGGTCAGACTGGCAATTGCCCGGGGGTCAAACAGCAGGTCTCAGCCCTGTTTAGTTTACCGCAGTGTTGGACAGCACACAGTTGTAGACACAGTAGTCACAAATCAAAAGGCAATTTGCCACCTTTGCTGGATGTTACAAGCAAAGTCAGGGCTATTCTCAGACTTCTATTTCTAGTGGCTTCGACTGCAAATTCAGTTGTAGAGAGTCTTCAATAACGGGATTTGCCATCTGACAAAAATAGCAAGGAAACTCAGCTCACACTTCTTTGAAGCATTTTACTAGGGCATTCCTCCCTTCCTAAAGAATTACTGAGAAGTCCAGTTGTAGAGAAATTTATATCATACACAAGGAAATTTTCAGCTTCGACTGCAAATTCAGTTGTAGAGAGTCTTCAATAACGGGATTTGCCATCTGACAAAAATAGCAAGGAAACTCAGTTCACACTTCTTTGAACCATTTTACTAGGGCATTCCCCTCTTCCTAAAGTATTACTGAGAAGTTAAGTCCAGTTGTGGAGATATTTATATCATACACAAGGAAATTTTCAGCTTATTTTTGAGTGTCAAGAAGCACTCAAGCCAATGAAGACGAACTCCAGCAAAAGATACGAGTAGGCAGCTACAGCAAGAGCAGCACCTCACCAGTATTCTCTATTTGGAAGGGAAACCACAAAGCAACAGGGTATTCTGTTGACCAGATGTGAGCCTCACCTAGTCTATTCCTCACTCTCTCCATCCTACTTATTTCTTAAACCTTTATTCTATCTGCTGCTTATACAGATTCTTAAGTGGCACATTTAATACATTAACACTTCTGCCTCCTGTTTAACAAAGAGGTAAAATCGCTTTTAATAATTCTGATGTCAACATGATCTCTGTATTAAGGAATGTGAGCCTCACCTAGTCTATTCCTCACTCTCTCCATCCTACTTATTTCTTAAACCTTTATTCTATCTACTGCTTGTACGGATTCTTAGGAGGCAGAAGTGTTAATGTATTAAATGTGCCACTTGTTTAATAAAGAGGTAAAATCGCTTTTAATAATTTTAATGTCAACATGATCTCTGTATTAAGGAACGCCTTAAGAAAATTACAGAAAATGCAAGGAAAATACTAAATTCCACACAGAACAAAATTTACTCTGAAACAGAACGAGTAAGGATTTAAACACAAATCTATATACTCTAATAGCTAAACAGCAAAGCACTATTTTAAAAGATAAATCAATGCAAGTATTGTAACAATAAAAACATAAATCTTATAGTGTTTTTCTTTAAACTTCTAATAAACCAGTGGCTGTAATAAAAGGTAGGAGTCTTAGGAGCCTTCAGCAAGGGACATGGGAAGGATGTTCTTGCAGTGTTTCTGATGTATAAATGCAAATGCTTACGGAGTACACAGAGTACAATAAGGACTAATGTCTGCAACAGTGGGTGCAAGAAGAAAGCATTACTGGAGAGGAGCCAAAAGCCTCTCATCCCTCTCTAGTACCACTGAGGAAAGGAAAAATCAGGTACTCTGGCAACCTTCACGGCAGCGCCCAAGCAACTACCCAGTACCCAAGAACCACAAGAGAAGTAACTGCTGAGTATGTCCAATCACTCTGTCCACTGGCCAAAGAGAAATCAGGATTTGCTGACCTACTGCACATGCCTGTATCAAATGCACAGAGGCTGCAAGGCACTCCCGGTCACTGCGCATGTCTGAGCTGCAAAGGCTAAGCACATCTGGCAACACCAACAACCCCGTGGATTTAATCACTTGCACCGAGGTGTTCAGCAGCTCTGGTGCACACCACGACATACCCGTCCGCCACGGGATATCCTTCCGCCACGCTCATCCTTCACCCCAAGGAGCAGGGACTCGGAGGGAGGAGCCCTGAGCTGCACAGCACAAACACACCGCACGTTTGGGCAGCTCCAAAATCAGATTAGGGCTGCACCTGCCTCCCGGCATTTCACATCAAAACAGCTGCTTGCCCTAACATCTTAACACTTCCTTCAAAAAAAAAAAAAAAAAAGGCATTTTGCAGCTTGCAAAATGTAGTGCAGTCACTCAAAGACCTCTTGGCACTATTTGATACCTTGACAGTATTACACCTTCAGGGCTTATTTCTCATTTCTGTTTTGGGGAATACCACAAGCACTAAGATTTTATTCAAATGAAGCAGGAATTACCCAGAACAAATGTGCATTTGATTCACATGAGGGAATATGGAGAAACATAGTTTGCTGCTGGAATAGTGAGTAATAGTAAGGAACCTATAATTTAATTTTACTGCATAATACCAAAGAAGTAGGAATAACCAGATACAAAGAATATCAAGTAATCTGAGGACAAGGAAACCATCACAGAAAACCAACGAAGATTATAGATCAAAATTTTAAAGAGTCCACTAATTCAATACTTTACTGATGGAATTTACACCGCTCATTTCCCACTCTGAAAGCTTTTCATCTATAATTATGCCAAGAAAGCAGTAGTTTTCCTAATTGTAGGTTGCCAGCAATACAAATATTTTTCTAGTAATTCCAAAACAGAGTCAAACTTGTGTTCTGTAACTCTTGAACATGAACACGCATTTTCAACTGTTCTTCAATATTTAGACATCTTAATATGGGGCATTCAATCATATTCTGAAATTATCAGAATGAAAACTGCATTGATCACTATTTGTATAAAGATTTTGAAACTGTCTAACTTTTCTCTGTATTTTAACTCTCCGGGTTTGGAAGGTGGGGGTGGGGAGGGTGGCAGAGATGAGGAAGAGGGGGGAAACCAGACCTCTTATATCTAAATCAGTTTTATATTATATCTGAATTATATTATAGCTAAATATATTTAAATTATATGTAAATTCAGGAAAAAAGTGGTTTCTTTCAGCTTAATATTTTGAACTGCCTTTTCCCATCATCTTCCTCAGAGTTGCATCTCACAGCTACATTCTTAAATCCGTAAGCCTTATAATTATGGATGAAGCATTAACCTCCTGCAGAGGGAACTCTTTTACAATTCCACACCTCCATCCAAAAATGCTAATACCTGGCACGCTAAAAAACAGGCTGCCTATAAATAACATGGCCAATGGCTTATTCAAACATACAGCGACTGAGGGGGCACGGGGTTCAGCTTGGGGAACTCGACACTACTCGAACACCTTTGAAGTGCACGTCCAGGGACAAACAGCTCACAAAAGCCTTCCTGACCTGAGTCCCCCAGGCAACCAGCGTCACATCATTGCCCGTCTGCAGCACCTCAGCTTGAGACAGTGGAATGTAATAGGGCTCCACAGGAACTTGTTCCACTAAACAAAGAAAAAAGACAAAAATAATCATTAGGTGCCATTAATATTCAGTAATATCCCAGAAAAATATATACCTAAAAAATAACAATAATACCATTTAAAACAGTAGACTGGAAGCAAATCAAATATTTTTTATTTCCAAAGATGTAGCTATAATTAGAAGTATTTTATCATACTCTATAGATCCCTTTCACTGGCATTTAGAGCATCTAATAAAAATAGATATGTACAACTAGTAAAGTAATAAGACCCAGTGTTCCCCCAAGTCAAAAATAGCAGCATGAGATCCGCTACACCTGATAGGAATCAATACTGTGTCTAATTCTAGAGTGTATAGATAGTAACTTACAGGGAAAAGGAAAAAAAAAATAATCAGCACTCTCCTGATATCTGCTCAGAACGGTGCTCCACATTTATATGTCAAAATAACAGGAAAATCAGTTTTCAGAACCTCCACAGAAACAGCCTCCAGGAATCCCTGATAATAACAAGTGACTCAAAGTTTTTTGCTTTGAAAAAGCTTTTTATTCATCAAAAATATAGTACCATTAGAAAAAAAAAAACAGACAAAAATTAAGCATCTTGTCTTCTCTAAAATGCTTAAGGTGGTTCCAGGCAATTTAAGTTCCATTTAATATTGAAAATACCTCAGGTCTTTTGGGTTTGTTTTGAACCAATGCTCCAAATCTGAAACTCTATATATTCACCATTTTAATGACAAAAGACATCCATACACCATATACAAAAATAAATATTTTATTATTTGGACTTAGACTATGCACTAACAAATCATATATTTTTTTTTCATCAAAAAAGCCAATAGTAAATAAAAAGACTTTCTTAGCATTTTTCTAAATACACAATATCTATTAATAGAGAAGGTACCCTTATTTTTGTTCATCTGTTTACAGTTCCAGAAATAGTTATTCAGTTCCTACAGAGCAAAATTGCTTCTTAAAGGAACGATTAAGAACTGAGTAATATCTGTGGGACAAAGCAAGCTTTTAGTATTTTACCTTCATTAAAATGGCAAATCCAATATAGACAGGAAGACCTGTCCTTTTTTCTTGGCTTACATAATATGAACATCATTTTAATAAATCATATGGCGAATGATTTTCTAAATTACATCAAATTTTATTGTCAGTCGTAATATTCAAATATTGCACATTTTGCAGAATTAGAAAAGGGTTGAGGGTGGAAAGGACCTCTGGAGATCATCTAGCCCAACCCCCTGCTCAAGCCAGTCACCTCGAGCAGGCTGCCCACAGCTCTGTCCAGTCTGGTTGTGAATAACTCCAAGGATGGAAACCTCACAAGCTCCGAGCAGGCTGGTTCAGTGTTTGGCAACCCTCACAGCAAAAGTTTTTTTCTTATGTTTATGTCAGAGACATCTTTTTTTCCCTGAGGGGGCATAGAGAAGACACTACAGGAGCTTTTCTCCAGTGTATTTCATAATTCAGCAACACCCGCCCACCTGGTCCTCCATCTCAAGTCCAAGGAGATTTTGTAACACAGCACAAAACCAGATATGTAACATTTTGTAACACAGCACAAAACCAGATATCGATAGCCAATTTTATTATTAAGTATTGTGTTCAGCGCCTTCCTGTAGCCATTTATTTGAATGGCATATGGCCAGAGAAAAGATGGGATGGGGAAATGAAGAGGGATGCGAGGCCCAGGCAAGCCTTCCACATGGGCACTTGCACTCAGATAGCATAAAAGAAGATTTGGAAGTTGGATGTTAGCAACAAAAGAATCAAAAAGTTCATGTGAAACGACCTCCTTCATATAGTGGTCTTATACATTTACAGACATTAAATATAAGACACAACTACACAAACTAGCTGATTCCTTTTCACAACTAAACCATTCCTCAACAAAAGATCTGTTGGAAAAGCCCATCTAGACTTCCTTACACTTCCGAATCTGTAGTTCAGCTTACCAGAAGATGTTAAGGGAAGTCCAGCTTTGACAAGATTTTGTTTAAATGCCTTTGCAAAATTCCCCCTGTTTAGTAGCCAAGTGAAGAACAGCATCTGAAATTCTCCTATTCATTCCCTTCCATAATAATTAACCAAACGAGGACAAAGATGTTTATATATGAAGCAGTCTTTCATCTATTAATGACTGCATCAAATAAAATATTGTAAAATATTGCAAAACAAACATTTCAAACACAGGTTTCAAATAAAGCAATTAACAAAAAGTTGCAATTATCAAAGAGAAAATCCATTGCAAATTAAACTTAAAAGAAGCTGCACCATCTGTTGCTTTTTTTTTTTTTCCCCCCCGAAAGAGCAGTCTCAACACCGAGAAGAAAACATATGTTTTTTCATCTTACCTGTCTTGTCTCTATAACAACCACTGATGCAAGTCGTATTTATTTCTACCCCACGGATGTCATATATAGTACAATTAAATGAAACTGAAAAGGTCAAAAAACACCAGACTAGGTTCTCCACAAGATGTCTAAACCTGATAATGTCAAAGTGACTCATCTTCTCCTTTGATTCATAATCATTATGTACTCTTGACACTGCACAGGCTGTTAACTACTTTCTAAAAACCAAAGTCTCCTCATCTTTTTTTTTTTCATACGGATATTTTCTAAGCATCTCTGACATTTAGGGGGATGTCACCATGGCACTTTCAATAATATAATCATCTCAGAAGTAAGTTTATCACAGACAATTTTGTCCTTTTATACAGAATATAAAAATAAAGATATAAGTGTGTATATAAAATATATATATACACACACTGTATATACATATATATGCATGCGTGCACAAAACTGCATAAACAGGAACACTAGGCTTTTACTCCGAAAGCCTACTCAGAAAGGTTAGCACCTCTTTGCTGGTTTCCAGTTACATAAGGCAAGATAATATTTCTCAGGAGACTAAATGGGTGCACGTAAGTCTCCAACGACCATCACGGCTCATATTCAAACAAAACACCGCAACTAGTGTTTTATATCTAGAGTAACCTCTAAATACATTCCCACCTAAGTAGAACACCATCTACAAAAGGATTTGAAGTAAATGCTTTTTAAAGTGGTTTTTAGGTGTCCCTGCTTATGCAGAGGGGT